TGAGGCCCCAACAACCACGGAGGCTCCAACAACCACTGAGGCACCTACTACACTGATGCCCCAACAACCACTGAGCCCCAACAACCACTGAGGCTCCTACTACCACTGAAGCCCCAACAACCACTGAGGCCCCAACAACCACTGAGGCTCCTACTACCACTGAGGCCCCAACAACCACTGAGGCCCCAACAACCACTGAGGCTCCTACTACCACTGATGCCCCAACAACCACTGAGGCCCCAACAACCACTGAGGCTCCTACTACCACTGAGGCCCCAACAACCACTGATGCCCCAACAACCACTGAAGCTCCTACTACCACTGAGGCCCCAACAACCACTGAGGCTCCTACTACCACAGAGGCCCCAACAACCACTGAGGCTCCAACAACCACTGAGGCTCCTACTACCACTGATGCCCAAAACAACCACTGAGGCTCCTACTACCACTGATGCCCCAACAACCACTGAGGCCCCAACAACCAATGATGCATCTACTACCACTGATGCCCCAACAACCACTGATGCTCCTACTACCACTGATGCCCCAACAACCAATGCTCTACACCACTGAGCCCCAACAACACTGAGGCTCCTACTACCACTGAGGCCCAACAACCACTGAGCAGCCTACTGACCACCACACTGAGGCCCCAACAACCACTGAGGCCCCAACAACCACTGAGGCCCCAACAACCACTCCAACCACTGAGCCCCAAACCACTGAGCCCAACAACCATGAGGCCCCAACAACCACTGATGGCCCCAACCACTGACTAACCACTGAATTCCCAACAACCACTGATGCCCCAACAACCACTGAGGCTCCTACTACCACTGAGGTCCCAACAACCACTGAGGCCCCAACAACCACTGAGGCCCCTACAACCACTGAGGCTCCTACTACACTGCCCTACTAACCACTGAGGCTCCTACTACCACTGAGGCTCCTACTACCACTGAGGCCCCAACAACCACTGAAGGTGCCACAATTACTTAATACTATATTTCTTTAATTTTATCTTTTTTATTTTTTGGTATAAAACTTATTTGTTTATTTTATTTATTTATCTTTTATCATTATTATTTTATGTTTTTCATGATTGGGTCCGTAATATCACTCTCTTAAACTGTATTATCTGTTTATGCAATGAAACTTAACAGTAGGTTCAGTGAATTGTTGAGGGATATCTTTTATCATAACCTTCTTTTTTTTTAAAGTAAACCATTGATTGTTGGCACAAGAGTCCAACGCTGAAGGACGAGCTTGAGAAAAAACTATCTAGCGCCTCATTCCACACAGGATCAACAATACAACAGCACGAATGGCTGCTGAGGACCTGTCTGGGAACTCTCTCTCCTCTCGCTTTCTTTCTTCCTCAACTCTCTCTCTCATCTCCCTCCTCCCACACACCCCCTTTCATTCTCTCGTTCTAATTCTTTTTCTCATCCTCTCTCACTCACTCACTCATATTTCTTTCTCTCGTCCCCTATCTTTCACCCACCTCTCTCTCCTTCGTCAATTCTCTCTCGCCCACCTCTCTCTATTGTCCCTTTCTCCCTCTCTCTCGTTTTTCCCTCTCTACATTTTTTCCCTCTCTCTCCCTGCCCCATTTACCTTTTTCTATCGCTTTCCTTCCACCTCACCTCTCTTTCTCTTTCGCTTTCTCTTCCGCTCTACCCTCTCACTCTCTCTTTAATACATCCACCCAACCCTCTCTGCCTGTCTCTCATTTAGTTCTCTTGGGTAGTAATGCCATGTTAAATGTGCTTCTTTACAAGAAAATAAGGACAATACCTTTCTTTTTTCACTATAAACAGATGAGCACAAGGACTATAAACTAAGGAAATTGGTCATCACAGTTTTTTGGTTATCACACGTTATGAAGAAAGCCTTTTCCTTACTTATGGCAGTGTGTGTGTATACATATACATACATACATACATATATATATATATATATATATATATATATATATATATATATATATAATATATATATATATATATATATATATATATATATATATATATATATATATATTAGCTTTAAATGAAACTTTAATTTAACTTGATTCATTTTACAAGATTTCTCTTAAAATTATAATGTTCACTGATATCAATGCCACATGTTCAGTCTTTATACACATACACGCTATTAACTATATACAAAATAAAAGCTTATTTAGAATATATAAATATATTCATATTCTAAATATGAGCGTGGCTAGGCTTTTCTAGTGATAAAATAAGCTCAAAACACACGATGTGCTTCTAGTACCGGATTTCAGGCTGGTTTTCAGGCTCATGTGGGCGGAGTTTAAACGATGACGTAAAGTAGCGAACGCGGCGCCAAAACCCGGGACGCCAATCCCAGGTGTTGGAAAAAAAAATCCAAGGAGTTCGTAGTTTCTTTGATCTAAGAAAGAGGGATTAAACCATCTCGGTCGCTCTTTGTCCAATGTACGAAATTCTTGAACGCAAAAGCTAACCACAGCTCGTTAAAGAAGAGGCAACCGTTTTATGAACGCCTAGTTGACAATAACGGTATGCCGGTCATCGAATCAAAGAAATGAGCATGCACTTATAAATACATTTCTATACTGGGTGCAAATATAAACTTATGTATATATTTATGATAGGATATATACATACATCCATACACACACACACACAAATGTGTTTTGGTAGATATAGATATGTATTAAAATATATCTTATAAATACGTATTTAAAATTTACATCCCTAATAGTGAACCTGAAAATCATCACATCTTTTCAACATAGCTTATATATATGTGTGTGTCTGGGAGGAGAGGAAGAGGGGGGGGGTATGTATATATATCATATAGCTGTAAATTACTTATCAGTTAAGAAATATAAGTATAACCAAGCTTACGGTTCTAACTAAAATTTTCTGAATTCATGTTACCCTGTCTGAACAGAACCTTAAAGATATCAAATACCCAAATCAATTATATGTAATCAAGTAAAATATACACATTGAGATATTACACCTGCTCGTAGAGTCACTGCAGTCACAAGAATCACAAATGATGCACAAGCCCTTACCGAAAGACGTGTTTGAGTCCATCGCAGTCAATTAGCGATCCGCCTCCCCTCGCGTCTAGGTGATATCTAACCCCCCTGAGGCACTCCGCCTCAGGCTGGTCCCGCAACTTCACTAGAGTTCGTTGCTCTCCATGTCGATTCCTTTACAGTACGACATATATGTTTATATATAAATTCACGTATCAGTGTGTGTTTCTGTGTATGTACACATTTACATACACACATAGATAATGTGTTTCTGTGTACGTACACGCATACATATATCTACATATATGTAAATGTGTGTGTGTGTGGATATAATTATGTATATACGTCAGTATACTTATATGGATGTATGCAAATGTGTAAATTCTATTCATATATGATGACATACATGCGTGTGTGTTTATATACAAAATATATTGACAAAGTTCATCCTTTTCTTCTCTCATAGCATCAACATCAACCATTATCTCCTCGACCACTGAAGCTCCTACAACCACTGACGCCCCAACAACCACTGAAGCTCCTACTACCACTGAGGCCCCAACAACCACTGAGGCCCCAACAACCACTGAAGCTCCGACAACCACTGAGGCTGAGGAGGCAACAACCACTGAGGCTCCTACTACACTGAGGGATACCACTTGAGGACTCTCCACTACCACTGAGGCCCCAACAACCACTGAGGCCCTACTACACTGAGGCCCCAACAACCACTGAGGTACTGACTACCACTGAGGACCACTGAGGCCCCAACAACCACTGAAGCTGCTGAGGCCCAACAACCACTGAGGCTCCTACTACCACTGACTACCACTGAGGCCCCAACAACCACTGAGGCCCCAACAACCACTGAGGCTCCTACTACCACTGAGGCCTACCACTGAGGCCCAACAACCACTGAAGCTCCTACTACACTGGCCCAACAACCACTGAGGCTCCTACTACCACTGAGGCTCCTACTACCACTGAGGCCCCAACAACCACTGCCTACTACCACTGAGGCCCCAACAACCACTGAGGCCCTACTACCACTGAGGCCCCAACAACCACTGAGCTACTACCACTGAGGCCCCAACAACCACTGAGGCTCCTACCACTGAGGCCCAACACCACTGACTACTACACTGAGGCCCCAACAACCACTGAGGCTCCTACTACCACTGAGGCCCCAACAACCACTGAGGCTCCTACTACCACTGAGGCCCCAACAACCACTGAGGGAGCTGAGGGCCCCAACAACCACTGAGGCTCCTACCTACTGAGGCCCCAACAACCACTGAGCTCCTACTACCACTCACTGACAACCACTGAAGCTCCTACCACTGAGGCCCCAACCACTGAGGCTCCTACTACCACTGAGGCCCCAACAACCACTGAGGCTCCTACTACACTGAGGCCCCAACAACCACTGAGGCTACTGAAGCTCCTACTACCACTGAAGCCCCAACAACCACTGAGGCTCCTACTACCACTGAGGCCCCAACAAACCACTGAGACTGAGGACTAACTGAGCCCCAACAACCACTACTACCACTGAGGCTGAGGACACTGAGGCTCCTACTACCACTGAGGCTCCAACAACCACTGAGGCCCCAACAACCACTGAGGCCCCAACAACCACTGAGGCTCCTACTACCACTGAGGCCCCAACAACCACTGAGGCTCCTACTACCACTGAGGCCCCAACAACCACTGAGGACTGAGCCCCAACAACCACTGACGCCCCAACAACCACTGAGCTGAGGCCCAACAACCACTGAGGCTCCCACTGAGGCCCAACACCACTGAGGCTCCACACTACTGAGGCTCCTACTACACTGAGGCCCCAACAACCACTGAGGCTCCTACTACCACTGAGGCCCCAACAACCACTGAAGCTCCTACTACCACTGAGGCCCAACAACCACTGAGGCTCCTACTACCACTGAGGCCCCAACAACCACTGAGGCTCCTACACTGAGGCCCAACAACCACTGAGGCTCCTACTACCACTGCCACCCCAACAACCACTGAGGCTCCTACTACCACTGAGGCCCAACAACCACTGAGGCTCCTACTACCACTGGCCCCAACAACCACTGAGGCTCCTACTACACTGAGGCCCCAACAACCACTGAGGACCACGCCCAACACCACTGAAGCCCCAACAACCACTGAGACTGACCTACTACCACTGAGGCCCCAACAACCACTGAGGCCCCAACAACCACTGAGGCACTGAGGCCCAACAACCACTGAGGCTCCTACTACCACTGAGGCTCCTACTACCACTGAGGCTCCAACAACCACTGAGGCTCCTACTACCACTGAGGCCCCAACAACCACTGAGGCTCCTACTACCACTGAGGGACTGAGCCCCAACAACCACTGAGGCTCCTACTACCACTGAGGCCCCAACAACCACTGAGGCTCCTACTACCACTGAGGCCCCAACAAACTACCACTGAGGCTCCTACTACCACTGAGGCCCCAACAACCACTGAGCTCCTACTACCACTGAGGCCCCAACAACCACTGA